TGACGACAGGTTCATCTCTCCACTGTTTCGTACTGGTCAGCTCTAGCATGCTTACAGTACGACGAGTGCTGTAGAAACGGTTGAGGAATTCCCTTTCTAGCTGGTCCCAACTGTTGATAGACTCAGGTTCGAGGTCAGTGTACCAGTCAAAAGCGTTACTTTTCAGCGAACGCACGAACTGTTTGACGAGGTAGTCTCCCTCTGTCCCAACATTGTTGCAAGTTTCAATGAAATGGGCAACATGTTGCTTCGGGTTGCCTTTTCCATCGAACTGCATGAATTTTGGGGGCTGATAACCCCTTGGCATCTTCAAAGCATCAATCTTCTTGGAGTAAGGCTTTGAGTACAGTACGGAGTCATGCGAGCTTCCTTCGTACTGTGTCTTGACAGTGCTTGCGATCATCTCCTGTAGCTGCTGGATAGAGAGAGATCCCATGAATGCCGTTGATTGGTCTAGCTTCAGCTTCTCTTCAACTTTCTCCACTGGTGGCTCCTCTTCTTCGTCGTCTTCTTTCTTTAATAGGCCAATATTTGGGTCGACTTTCACGTCGGGCAGCGCATCTAGTTGGTTGACAAGTGCGGCAATCTGCAAGTCCTTCTCTTCCACAGTCCGTGTGAGCTTTGCGATTGCTTCATTCATCTGAGCTAGTTGCTCCTCGATTGAAGTTGCTCCAGTGGTCATGACTTGCATGGTTGTACTACCGCTCGAATCAGCGTCGGAGAGTAGGGACTCTGAGTATTTCCTCGGGCTTTCCCCCCTTGATGCCTTTAGCAAGGCCAGGGTGATCACAGGCTCGTACTTCAGGTGCTCTTGTTCCTTTGACAGAGTCAATGCAGGGGCAGAAGCCGCGGCAAAAAGAGCTCTTGCCTTACTTCGGGTTATGATGCCCGAAATATCACCACTTGCGGCGATGATGTTCTTGTTCTTTGCTTTGATTGCAGGAACAGCTTGATCCTTTCTTGATGCCATTTGCGTTTTTCGATGATTTGAGGATAGAGATGAGAGGTAGAGAGGTCCCACCGGGCGTGCCAAATTTGTAAACACGAAAAATTCCTGAAACAAGAAACAAGAATACGTGTACAAAATATATTTTATGTTTAATGATTTTGGGGTTACAATCTCTTTGTAATTTGGTCCTCTGATTCTATCTTCGTAGGGTGTAGGTTTGTGGATGAGTTGTTGATCCAAAGGGCCGTCGGGGCTTGATCTAGGGATGAACAGTTGATGAACGGATCTTCGAGGGCTTTTGAGCTTGATCTTGAAGACTGGGTGTATGGATTTCTTCAAGGGGGCCGTCGAGGCTTGATCTTGAGGGTTGATGGATGAGCGGATCTTCAAGGGCTTTTGGGCCTAATCTTGAAGACTGAGTGTATGGATTTCTTCAAGAGGCTGTCGGGGCTTGATCTTGAGGGTTGATGGACGAGCGGATCTTCAAGGGCTTTTGGGCCTAATCTTGAAGACTGATTGGATGTGTGGATTTGTTGAAGTTGTTGATCCAAAGGGCCGTTGGGGCTTGATCTTAGGACGAACGGATGATGAACACTTTCTTCAAGGGGCCGTCGGGGCTTGATCTTGAGTCGGCGGAAGTTCTTCATGGGCCGTTGGGGCTTGACCTTGAAGGAGGGTTTGACGAAGAACGAAGAGTGTTTTCTTGATCCTTCGGGATTTTGCTTGAGAGCTTTAGAGTTTCAAGGCTTCAAGGTTTTGGTGTGATGTAAATTCCCTTCTTTCTTTCTCTTCTTCTTTTTTTCTTCCTCCCTCAAATGAATGCCTTGGCTTCCTATTTATAGAATTCCAAAACTTGATTTTTGGATTTAAATAATCAGATGAAATAAATCATTTCTGCCAGGTATTGACACGTGTCCTATTTGATGACTTTTCCAATTTATTTCGATTTTTCGTTGAGTCACACGCTACATGTAAAATTTATGTGACACGTGAGTGTTGAAATTTTAATTATTGGTCAGCATTCATTTCACCGAAATTTTGATGTCTACAAGCTCATACTACTTTCTGAATTCTCGTACTATATAATTTCTGGTTATTTCTGTAGACAAGGGTTGCAACTCGTTGGTTGGTGCCGTGTCCATTTTAGCCTCCAGTTTTGTACTTGCTTGCATATAATTGAAGGGTGGGAAAACAAGATATAATGTTCATAAACTACGGGAGGTAATACATCTGTTGTTATGCATTACAATTGTTTCTTTCCATTTTGTATCTAATCTTGTTGTTCTTATTGTAATGTTCATAAACTACGGAAGCACCTTATATATCGCTGGCAAGTGGTTGAAGAGAACGAAAGTACCTTCCCCTAATAGCGTGTGGAACTAGGGAGGGACGCAGTTTCATCTTGGGAGTATGACAAGAAAAAGACGGATTTTTGGGAGAGTTTTGCCCTTCCAAATTCATCTGTCCAAGAAAAGCAGGTTTGCGAGATTATGGGCGTTCGAACTGAAAATGGAGAATTAAAATAAAGAACGAGTACAGGAGGACATTGATGTGCGTCACTAATGTTCAGGGGTGACATTGATCGATATGTTTTGACCCTACATTCTGATTTCATCGCATTGACACCGGGCGTATCTCTGGCCAGCGTGACATTCCTGTTTTAACCCTTTTCGCTAAATTTATTAGCATGTTTGGATTACGAGAAATCGTTAAATCCTTTTCGCTAAAGTTCTAATCCTCTGTTTGTTTACACCCATTTGAAATTGCAGAATCTAAAGTTGAACTGGGTGAACCGGGAATAGGGATAGCAACGGTTCGGTTTGAGGATGGAAATACTGTATTCATCTTCATAACCACGAAACTTAACCATATCAATAACCACAAATTAACCATCGCGTGTTATCCATAACCATACTCATCAGATAACGGATTCTCCATCGGTTAACGGTAATATCCGTCTTTGTCAATACAATTAACGCATGATAATTTAGTAAATATTAATTTCGTCATTAAATATTTGATGTATAAAATAATTTAATGAATGGATCTTGTGGAACATAAAAATTAAAGTTAAACATTGATAATGTTGGCTGATTTTTTATATCTCCCAATAGTACCATTGAATTCTCAAAGATTTTGATTCTTATCAAAACTTATTAACTTTCCCATAAAATGCAACTCATGTAATGCAATTTTTGTATTTACACTCAAAGTAAAGGATTTGGCGAATAATGAATATACATATGTGTGTGTCTATTTTAATACTTTAATATTATGAATAATTATATTATATATTATTCGATTCGGATTCGGAGACGGATCGGATACGGATTGGGGACCCTATAACCATATATAAAACCATAACCGAATAATATTAACGGTTTTTCCCCATACCCAAAATATACCTAAATTTTCATATCGAGCGGTTATCCACGGTTATCGAGTTTAACGATTAAAATTGTCATCCCTACCCCGGAAATAACTTCATGGGTATGTTTAAATTTTGATTTGGTGAAATTGGTATGTTTTGAATTGTTATTTTCGTGTTTGATTGCTGTTTTTTTTTCAGTGTTTTATGCATTTTGCTTGTTGGATTTTTGGTAGTTGATGAATTGGGTGTTGGGAAATCGAAACCGAAATGTGTTTGCCAATCTCTCCGAGAATTGCTTATATTTAGCTTTGCATCTCGATTTTTCGATTGAATTCTACGAAGATTGTCAATTTTGTGTAGAATTTTAGTTTTCTTGAATTCTATGGTTTTGGGTGCTTTTGATTTGGGTTGAGTTCTTTGGCATCTAATTATATACGTATTTTAACCGAGTGTCTATTTTTGTAAATTAGTAGTGGCTAAGTGGTACGAACGAGTGGCGGGTGATTTAGCGTCGTTGAAATTGTTTGTCTATGAATCTGCAATGTCAATAGTCCGGTGCACTGGGCTGCACAGTTTGTTTAATATCAATAATAATTAGGTGTCCTACGAGAAAAGTAAAATGATAATTGAGGTGGAAATTTTGATTAGAAAAGTAGCATAAGGGCAAAGAATTGTGTGCCCAGCATGTGATGCTCTGTCTATTTCCTATCAAGTCTACTTCCTAATGTTATTACTTTGTGAAATGATCGAAAGAGGTTACTTCCTAATCTTATTACTTTTAATACACTTATAAGTGGTCTTTGCAAAGAAGGAAAATTAGAGGCTTGCTACATCCATGAAACTACTTCAAAAATGAGTTACCCCAAATCAAATTTCATACAAAATAATTATTCAGGGCCTGTGTATTGAAGGAGATGGTTTCAGAGCCAACAAGTTTCTTCTCCGTATGTTAGAGAAGTCAATGGTGCCTGAGCCTCTGCTTTGGAATTGTATTATCCATTGTTATGGAAGATATGGGGATCTTAGTACTGCACTCTCTGTAAAAGGATCATATGTTCGCTTCTGGTGTTCATCCAAATGTGTATACTTACAGTGAGTTGATCCACGCACAAGTAAAAGGAGGAAACATTGATCTTGCTCTTGCTCTCAAAAAGAAAAGGGAATTGTTATTGGCACTCCAAATTTCTCATTCTACACTCCAAACTTTCTATATTTAGAAAGAAAAATACACTTGTGAGGAGTGTAGAATGTGATTTTTGAAGTGCCAATAACACTTCCAAAGAAAATGGTTGTCTGATCTTTGTCCTGATGTGATCACGTATAATTTGTTCATAGGTGCTGCTTTTACGTTATGGCTCCGGTTATATGATGAAATGCAGAGAATCGGGTTCATAGGTGCTGCTTTTAAGTTATGGCTCCGGTTATATGCTTTGAAGTTATGCTTTTAAGTATGTTGCAGATTATTGTAACTAACATATATTGTAGTTATTTATGTTACAAAATATTGCATTTTCTGTTATTACGCTACTCTTGATCACGATATATTCTTTTGTGCCAAGAAATTTGGTCTGTCTTTTTATTGAGTTTCACTTTATCCAATAATATTAATTTTGATTGCATCTGTAATAGAAGAAATTACAATTGAACATGAATTTAGTCTATGTCCAAGCAAAAACCAAATTGAGTACAACACTATTTTCATTATCCTGCTTTTTAGTCCGACATTGCACTTCACTAAGTTAGTCCAGCTTAGTCTATTCTAAGCCGGTCCAGCTTAATCCTCGAAGCTAGTCCAGTCCGAGATAGTCCAGTACAACAAACGCACCCTTAAGGATTTCACTAATGGTTCTCTGCCTGTGTTAACACAGGCAAACATATACATGTACAATCCATTTAAACCAAATGATGGGAAAAAATGGTAAAGAGAATATTATAACTTCATCACATAGCATACAAATATTTGCTTACCCCAGCTATAATGGTCACAAAGTCAAAGCAGAAACCGTTGTTGGCACTCGAAGTACTTGTTGCAGCAACCGTGCTGCAAGACGTTGGGTGATTCCGCCTACAACACGCCCCCCCAGGTTCCGTGCCTCAGGTTGTTGAAGGACCTGGTCGAGTGAGATATCATTCAAAACATGTTTATAAATAAGTTGAGTCTTTTAGGTCTACTTCAATGACAATGTGCAATGTGAATGCATTTGAAAGAGTGCAAAAGGCTAATTCATGAAGGCAGAAAATGACATGGTGTGAAGTGTGATGACAAATATAATCAAGGATCAAACAGAGAATCTGAATGGCAAAAAAGAATGGAACATATCGTGTGAATTATTTGAGGTTTCTTCGTTTGTTATATTGGACAAACAAATGCACTAATGATAGAATAAACTCTAAGATGATGAAGCAATATAAACCAACACAACAGCCTTTCGACCCAGAACTAGAAAGAACGTATACAATGCACTAGTGCAGAAAACAAACATGGTTCTTACTTGTAAAATGGGCTGCAAAAGCGCTGGATCAAAATTTTCTGAGGACTGTAGAAGTCCCCAAATCCGGAGCACTTGATCTCGGAGCTCAATCATGCTTTCTTGTTCAGCAATGCTCATTACAAGTGGTCCATTAGCATTGCCATTAGCAATTGCAGCTCTCATAAAATTGGGCATATAATTGTAGGTATCAATAAACGTACCCCAAACAAAAGCTTCAGTGACACGAACAGCCTCCTTAATAACTAAAGTTCGGAGTTCTTCACCATCTGACCCCAATATTAACTTCAATACAGGTTGTAAAGCATCTTTTGCAGAGAAATCTTTATCTTTTCTTCCCTGAACCAGCAGGTTTTCAAGTCGGTTCCACCTGCAGTCAACAGAAGTAACAAATTGTCAAGTAGTTCAGTACACCAAATCATATCAATTACCATCCAATATAAGTATAAAGATGGCAACAGAATCCATGCCTAAGCTTCCCATCCTTAAAAAGCAACTCAATCAGAGCATCTCTGAGATATGGGTTTGGATCCGTGAGAAGTCTTTTAGCGAAATACGGGTATGAAGCAGCCAGCACCTTGAAATTAGGATCAGCATTAAGGGCTAGACCTTCTAGTACAGTAAGTGACCTTAATATCAATGCATAATAAGCTGGGACTGCAAGAATAATAGAAAAGCAAAATCATCAGACTCAATCAGAGAATAAGGTAGAAAACTATATCATTTTTACGTTTATATGAATACACAGTTTGTATATTGACAATAATGAAAAGTGAGAAATTTAGAAGGGCTCAACCTCTTTCTATTTCTCTTTACAGTTAAAATATATGTAAAATTTATAATGAGGAAGTTTGTTAATAATTAAACTAAATACGCTAACCCAAAAGGCAAATTTGAAAACAGGCCAATGAGCTTTCTTGGATAAGAAGAAAAATGGATAAATCAAATACACCAGAAGCATAAGTCCTAACCCATGACACTCCTTTAGAACTTCGAAATAAAATAAACAAATTCCCAGCCCATCAGGTCAGCTTGCTTTAATTATAATGTGTAGTGCCAAAATTCAAGAGTTGGGCTTGAAGGTCACAAAACAAGGTTAAAGCATCAACTCACCATTGAATGGATATTGATACAAGACAGCACCTAAACCATCCACCAGTGTCTTGAAATTAAGTTCACTCACAGTTAAATTAAGCACATCATCAAAGAAGTTACGAAGTGCCGGTACAATTGGAGAAACGTCTACATCAGGTGACAAGAAATCTAGAGCATAGTAGTCACGGGCCATAGCTTCATAATCCCGATTAACCAAGTGAACAACATGACCGATGATAGCAAATCTAGCTTCTTCTGGCGTCTCACTCATCATTCCAAAATCAAGAAATGCAAGCTTTCCATCAGTTGTTGCCAACAGATTACCAGGATGAGGATCTGCATGAAAATATCCATACTCAAGTAGTTGTCTGAGGCTGCACTGTATGCCAGTGTTCACGAGATCCAATACTTTCAACCCTTGTCTCTCAATTGCAGCCTGCTCGTTTAATTTAACTCCATCTACCCACTCCATTGTCAACACTTTTTTGCTGGTATAATCCCAGAAAATGTCTGGGACCAGAACCTCTGCCTTGTCAGCATACAATTTCTTAAACCTCCTCGCATTTTGTCCCTCCTGCAGGCACCTGTTAAAATTAACATGGAAACCCAAAAGAATCTTATACAAACTATGAAGCTGCAGAAAATGTGTGCAGTTACATCATGCATTGTCGAGTCAGGATAAAAACATTCACACTCTCATAGCAGTTAATGACCGGTAACAAAGGCAAGCATGCCAGCGATTGTCGAGGATGGGAAGACTGACCTGAACATAGTTCAGCTCTTGATAGACTCTGCGTGCAAATTCATCAATAAGTGCTATAACATCAGTGGTTATGACGTCAACATATTTATTTATGAAAAATCCTAGACCTCTTATGAGATAGAAGTCAAGTCCTATCGCTTCTTCAATGCCCGGACGTTGCACCTTTACAGCAACAACCTGCCCAGAGTACTTGAGATGAGCTTTGTAGACTTGACCTAAACTAGCTGCCGCAATTGGGGATGGAGATATGCATGAGAAAACGGAGTCGAGTGGCAATTCCAATTCCCTTTCGATGCAGGAAAATGCTTCTGCATCTGGAAATGTGGGCAAAGCATCCTGAAGCTCAGAGAGCTCCTCCAGATACTCAGGTGGGCAAATGTCAGGCCTGGTGGACAAGGCCTGACCTAATTTGACAAACGTAGGTCCCAAACGAGTGAAAATTGTCCTGAGCTCGGCAGCACGCAGTCGTTTGTTCTGATCGATCACGCCATTCCTTTGGTCCACCAACAGCTTTAACCCAAATGAACCCAGCGATATCAAAATTTCAAGAGTCCTCCGAATTACCTGATTTGATTTACCACCAAACGACCCAAACAACATAACGTTATACACTAATTCAATCAAAAGACCAAACAAACAATAACAACACAACGTTATACTAATTCAATAAAAAACCAGCAACCAAGGAATAACAACATAATAATTCAATCTTTAACAGAAAAAACCATAATAATTTAATGAAAAAAAAAAAAAGCAAGAAAAATGAAAAGCCAGCAGAAGAAGAAAGCGAAATTGAATAAAAACCTTGACTGGGCGAGAGCCGTACTTGCCGACAAGCAGTTCGGGGCTGTAAATGGAGGCATTTGCAGCACGTGCAAGGGCCCTTGCCTCCGCCTGAAGGTCGTCCATTCGATCCCCGCCTCCCCGATAGATCTGCACTTTCAGCGCAGGTGTTGCTGGTCTCGCCTCAGCCTCTGCCAGAACTGACCGCGCTGATCTTACTCTAACTCTCATGCTACTTCTCCTTTGGTAAACAGATGCGCTATCCTTTTCCCTTGACGCCGCTCTACAGCCACAAGACCGCCACAAAGTTAACGGCTGACCAACGGCGACGGAGACAATCATAGCTCCTCCTTTGCTCTGCTCTACTGTACTAGCGCAACCACCAGTCTAGATTCCCTCAGCTCAGATTAACCGCGCCTTGCAATTAATATTGTTTCGGTTCGTGGCTGGCCAAATATCTATCATTTGTCTGGTGTAGAAATAGCAGCCACACTCGTCGTGGACTGGCGTGGCGTGTTCTACTGTTGTATAAAATAGTAGCCCAACTCTGACCCAAACATCCTACCACACAATTCACCGTGCAATTAGCGCATCAGTATCACTGGCCTTTTGCGTGTGCCAATTTTTATTTATTCATTTAAAAAGAAAAATAACAGTTAACTAAAGATTAGATTACTACTAGTATTACGGTTGAGTGTTGTGATTTTCTATTTGCAAGAGTATTGTAGAAAACGTATTTGACCAGAATAATTATTTCATTGATACAATACAAAATATATACAAAAGTTTTCCTTGTACAACAAGAAGACCTCTACAATCTAGGAATACATCAATGGAAAGTATAAAAAACAAATCAATCATATAATTCCTTCCTATCTAATTACATTGACTTTCTAACACTCCCCCTCAAGTTAGAGAGCGAATGTCAAGAACTCCCAACTTGCGCAACATTGATGAGGATTTTTCCTTGCCTTAGGCCTTTGTAAATTTGTCAGCCAATTGTTGAGAAGAACTGACATATCCAGCATTTATAGACAATGCTGATTGGTAGCGAAGAACTGTCTCTCATGAAAGACAGGGTTGGCAGCAATGTACAATGCTGATTGGTTATCACAAAACATAACGACAAGCCTTGAAATGGGTATATGCAAATCTGTTAGTAAATACCGCAACCAAATGAGCTCGCAACATGTCCCAGCCATGGCCCTATACTCGGCTTCAACTCTAGAGAGCAAAACAAATTTCTGCCTCTTAGTCTTCCATGAAATCAACGAATTTCCCAAGAATACATAATACCCAATTGTAGAACGATGAGTTATTGGACAACCGGCCCAATCCGAATCACAAAAAGCTGTCACAGTTGACTTATTATCTAGACTAGAAAAATAAACCCTGAATTGTGTGGACTTCAAGTATCTCACAATCCGAAGTGCTGCATCCATATGTGGCTAATGCGGTTGATGCATAAAATAGTTGAGTACATGCACGGAGTATGTGACGTTCAGTCTAGTAATGGTAAGATAAATCAAGCGTCCCACCAATCTTCGAAACGGAGATGGTTCTTTTGTTGGCTATCCTACACTGGTAGGGGAAAGAAAAAATAATGGGTTTAAATATGATTATCTCACTCTAACTAATATTGGGGCCTTTTGTGATAAAACTCATACCTGACGGATTAGGCAGGTGGAAATTACCAAGTTGGGGATAGTATCGGTATCATTAGAGTGGGGCCCCATGGGCCCGTCGATCTAAAATTTCAACATGGTAACAGAGCCAAGTTACGGGCCTGTGCAAGTCAAAGTGCTTGTCACCAGGAAGTGTGGAATAGGAAACAAGTCTGGACTCTTAACATAGAGTGGCCTCCATTTCCTAAAAGGGTTGAAAACAAGTCTGGACTCCATTGGAGTCGACCTCTAAGTTTCAATTGCTGATGTGTGGATCTCCATTTGTGAACCACTAAATGGGGTTCCACGTGTGGGGGTGTGTTGGCTATCGCACATCGATGGGGGAAAAGAAAAAAAATAAGGGTTTAAATATGATTACCCCACTCTAACTAATACCGAGACCTTTTATGATAAAATTTCACACCTGACGGATTTAACAGGTAGTAATTTCAAGTTGAGGACAATATCATTGTCTTTAGAGTGGACCCCCTAGCTCGTCAATCTAAAATTCCAACATCTTTGAGTAGTTTGCCTTTATCGGAAAGTTTGCTTTCCTCCATTGAAAATTCCACAGGTTTTGCACCCAAAAGGCCGCAATCCTTGATTATTTCAAGGGCATACTTCCTTTGTGAAATATACAATCCTTTCTTTAATGAGAAACTTCAATACCCAGAAAATATTTCAAATTGCCAAGGTACTTAATACGAAAGTGGGTATGAAGAATCCTTTTTAGGGCATTAATGGCATCTAAATTGTTCCCTGTAATAATAATATCATCAACATAAATCAACAAAGTTGTGAAGGATGTACCGTTCTTTTGGGTGAAGAGTGAATAATCCGCTTTGGACTGAATAAAGCCAACGGCAAGTATAGCTTCTGTAAATTTCACAAACCATTGTCAGGAGACTTGCTTAAGGTCATCTAAGGATTTGTTAAGGCAACATATAAGGTTCTCCTCCTGGCACCGAAGACCAGAAGGAGACATGTAAGTTTCTTCTTAAAGATTGCCATGAAGAAATGCATTATGAACATCTAATTGTTGGAGAGACCACCCTTGGCCACTGGCAATGGCAAGAGGACAATGGATGGTGATCATTTGGGCAGTGGGAGAGAAAGTGTCATGATAATCAATCCCCTTTGCCTGGGTGAATCTTTTGGCCATTAAACAAGCTTAGTAACGCTCGATAGAACCGTCAGTATTATGCTTGATTTCGTAGACCCACTTGCAATCAATTGGACTTTTTCCGGGAGGAAGCGGAGTAAGGTTCCATGTATTGTTTGAAGAGAGTGCTTCAAGTTTTGAATCCTTGGCTTTGCGCTAGTTAAGGTCTTGAACAGCCTCTTGAAAAAATGAAGGTTCTTTACACTTCGACTAAGGTGAACATCAAAAGAAAGATGCAATGGTGAATATCTGTGATATGAAATAAAATTACAAATGGGATAACGAGTACCTCTGGTGGAATCAGATGACGAAGGCGATAAAGATTGGAGTAGAGGCAGCATCATATGTGAATGTAGTCCCGGAGACGGACATTGGGCTCCTTGTGGCATGTGGAAAAACAAGTTCGTTACAGCAATGAGTGGAGTTTCAGGTATGGGTTCCGTGAAAGGGTATGATGCTGAAGGTGTGTGGCTGCTAAAGGTAGTGTCATGGGATGATGATGTGTCGGTAGGGTGTGAAATATTTGTGGAAGGTGAAGTGCTATGAGATGGAAGATTAGGCGGTATGGGTAAGATGCTGGTGGATAGTGAAGTATGAATTTGGGAGGACATTGTTTGTTAGTGTGGTGAAATCAGATGGTGGGATATCAACGGTTGTTGTGGCAAATGAAAAGGGTAAAGGTATTGAGTAATTCTGATCATGTAAGGTGGGAGATGATGTAGCAGTAGTAGATGGATCAAAAGGAAAATTGTGTGTTTCAATATCATAAAGTTTATAAGCTTTTTGACCATGGGGGATAACCAAGAAAAACACATCAATAAGCCCAGGGAGAGCTTAAAAGGAGGGTGGACTAAGGTGGCATAGGCAAGACAACCAAATACACGCATAAGGAATAAGAGGATGGTTTGTTGTGTATTATCTCAAAAGGTGATTTTTTTGAAAGCAATGGTGTAGGGAGATGGTTGATGAGATAAGCGGTGGTGAGAACACACTCCCCCCAAAATTTATTATGTAAATGAGATTGAAAACATAAAGCTTAGGCAATTTCTAATATATGGCAATGCTTTTTTTCTACAATGCCATTTTGTTGTGGTGTATAAACACAAGACTGTTGATAAATGATCCCATTTTCAAAGAAGAAATCCCACAAGGAATAAAATTCGCCCCCATTATCTACACTAATTTGTTGGATTTTGGTGTGAAATTGAGTTTCAACATAAGCAAAAATGGTTTTGAAGGTATTTTAGGCTTCGTATTTGTGCCTCATTAAGAAAACCCATGTGAAACGAGAATCAACTATAATTAAGCAATAGTGAGGACCAGTAAGGGAGGCGGTATTATGAGGACCCCAAATGTCAAATGCAAAAGACCAAAACACGTGGAAGTTGAAATGGAACTACAACTAAAAGGTTAGCGAGTTTGTTTCGCCAATGGACAAACATTGCAACTATGACTTGAATTAAAATGGAAATTTAAGGTTTTATTAGCTAAATATTGCAAACCCCAGAAGAAAGGTGCCCAGACAGCTGTGCCAAATATCAGCAAAAATGGTGATAAGGTGGCATGAGGGTCTGGTTTGCGGAGAAGAAGTGGAAGCCAACGCCATAAGGCAATATAGATCACCCCCATTGCTTACCAACATCAATCATCACCTTTGAAATCAGGTCTTATAAAATGCACCAAGAGGGAAAAAAAGTTACAGAACAGTGTAACCCATATGTATTTTTTTCCAACAAATAACAAATCAACTTTGAAAGAAATCACCTAATTGAATATTTCCAATCAAAGTAATATAAGCCTTCTTTCCGCTAGGCAGTGAGACAAGTGGCAAAGATGCATCTTTGATTGAATTTGTCAATAAATTAGGCGAGCAAGTGATGTGATCTATTGCTCCACTATCGATTTTCCATGACGGGGAACAAGCGGTGACAAACCTGAAGGTGGTTGAGAGGTAAAAGTGGCATGTGTTTGTGGTCCATCATTCTTAGGATCCCATACATAAAAAATTTCTTGATATTGTTTTTTGGACAAGTTAGGCATAAAAGCTTGGAGGTCCTTGATGGTAGGTGTAGAATTAACGTGATTAGCAGAAGAATTGCCATGAGAGGAGCCGTTACCACCACCACTTTGAAATTATGAGTCTTGTTAAGATTGTGACAAGGATGACCTGGTGGGTAACCATTTTCCTTCCAACAAGTCTCAACTGTGTGATGTTAGTATTGCAATAGAAGCAGTGAAGAGGAGGTTGACTCTTGCTACTATTTTGCGATAACTGTTGTTGTTGCTTGTCGCTACTGCGATGGGAGATTGCCATGGCTGCTGGTTTAGTCAGGTTGCGGGTAGTGCCTAACTCCCGCTGTTTTTCTTCTTGAATGATTGAGGAGTACACTTGTCTGATAGAATGAAGCGGATTCATCAGCAAGATACATCCACGAACAGCGCTGTAAGACTTATTCAATCCCATGAGGAATTGCATAAGTCTGTTGGTTTCGTTTTATGCTCCACAAGTGTAGATTGTTGAAAACAGTGGC